GAACTTGTAGCATTCCGCCACAACTGAATTCTTCTTTTACTTTAGCCGACACTAGGCAGCTGGTACATAATTGAATAGAGTTGTTTAAAGATTTATTTAACAAGTAAAGCTTGGAATGGTCTATTCTTTCATTGGGGGTGTGTCTGTGGGCCAGACTAGCTTCAGAAAATTCTACTCCTCATCAGTGATCCTGAACGCTACCACCAATGAAATATCAGACCAAACTGGTGGTAGTGTCCAGGGTCACTGATGAGGAGTGGAATTCTCCAAAACTAGTCTGGCCCACAGACACATCCCAATGAAAGAATAGACCATTCCAAGCTTTTACTTGTTGTTAAACAAATGTTTAAACAACTCTATTCAAAACTTTAATTACAGTTTGTTTCAGAGTAAAAGTTAGAAATTAAACTATGTCATAACAACAACTGTAAAGCCTCTTTTGTTCCATTCAGTATATAGATTTTATGAAAATTGGACCTAAACTGCTAATAGTGCTAATGTTTCAATAATGTCAATAAATTCAATACTGTAAGCCTAATGTTTTAATTTATAATGAATAAGTTTACAGCATCATATTGGAGGAAACAAATTAACTTAATAGACTGAAACAATAATCACATAAAAAATTTGAACTTCAGCTTAAAAGCAAACTTTTCATTTTAATAATGAGGAAAAAAGCACATTTACTTGAAGTCTGAGCTGCTTTTCATAGGCCCTTGGACTAATATGACTTTTTTTTTTTTATAAAAGAAATAAAAGAAAAGCATTATTCTTACTTGCTTCTATTCTTTCCAATTCAGAATAAAAGCTATCTTTCTCTTGTTGTTTTTGTTATGGTTTCCCGTTTGTTTGTTTTTTAAGACTTGTTTTTATGTATATAAATTCAAAACTTTTTAAGTGTTTCTTAGAATTCTGACAATCATTACAGGTTATCTTCCATCATGCAATATATTACATAAACTAAAATAAAATTTCACTTCATCATCATGACATAAGTCAGTAAATATTTCTGCTTTTTCTTTTTGTACATATATATTGGCAGTCCTGCGTGGAAGCTCCCTGATCTTTTTCACAAGAAAATATTGCTTACATTTAACTTTGAAAATCATCACCATTTTAGTTAAAACACTAAATACTCCCTACTGTCCATTTACACAGCAGTCATTTACTAAAATGGAATAAAACAAACAAAAAAATACAAATTTTAAAATTTTGAATATCTGCAGCAGTTCCACGCTGTATACAAAATTCTTCAAAGCCAAAGAGTTCCTTGAAAAATTGTGGGTTCACAGAATTTAACAAATGGGAAATATAATACATTCAAATTATCACTGTTACAAAATACCGAATTTATAGATAGCTTACATTCATTTGATTTCATTGTGTTATACAGTACTTCCACAACATCAAGATAGTGTTTTGAAACCAAGTATGTGTTTAAAAATTTAATATTCCTAGCTTACAAAGATATATATATATATATATATATATACACACTATTATTACAAA